AAGTGGCTTAAATGAAACATATGGTGTTGAGCTTCAAATATGTTGAATTCCAAATAAATTGTATAAAATTATAAATGTTGAATTATATATTTTTTCTACAGGGAGATTCAAATGAAATCCTACCAGAAACTTGGAGGTGTTGGATGCTTTACAGCAATTTTGGTTTATCACAGTTCGTTTGTGCACAGGCTAACACCTCAAAGTTTCTGGTAGGATTTAAATCCCCTCCTATCATTACAGCTGCCCTCTCCCCCAACTTCAGCTTAATTTACGCATTTGGAGCTCCATATCACATGTGTCTGGCAAGAAGTCACTTCTTAGCCAGAGAAAGGCATTTCAAACCTATTTATAGATTATATATAATATTATAATAATTATTAGTGTATTAAATTGATTATATTTAATGTTGGTCATACTGTTAAATTAGGATAGTAATAGAGTGATGGTGCCAGCCAGGTCCACTATTTCAGTCATATTATACAAGTTTTCACTAGTCGAGTCTTGTAAATATCAAAAAATATTCCAACTGTCAGAGTAACTTAGGCACTTGGTGGTAATGCTGGTATGTATGATTGATTTCACAATGTAACAATCACATCTAGCAAGTTGGTGCAACCATATTGTATAAAACTAGACAAAATTATTTTTTAAAGTTTATTAGTGAGACGATATTATTCCCTGCGGTCTGGAGACCGCAGGGTATTGGTACGCGTTTAACTTTTGAGGCATGGAGGAGCACGTGACCTGTTTTCGGTACATGGAGGAGCATGTGATCTGTAAACCGAACATGATTGGTTAATTGACCTTTTCGAAAACCTAGCTAAATACCGTTTGCCGGTACGTTACGGATTTACCTGTAGGTTACAACTTATTAAGAACGTGATATTTCTAATTTTCTATCATTATTTTACCGTTTAAGGTGGAAAAACTTGAATGATGTGTTTCAAAATTATCAATGTTTCTTTAATATCTATCTTAAATTTTACAAACAATAAATTATTTATACTGAAAATTTACAAAATTAAAATATTCGTAGGGGCTTCTACCATAACACATAGAGATATTTTCTGCGTAAACTTGTGTGTTTACTTTATTCTTTGTTTGCTCGGAATTATTCATAAAATGGTAGGCCTATTTAATCATTTTCTTAAAAAGAAATAATTGTTTTATGTTCGACCTTCTCCGGTCTTCAACGGTCACCAGTTTCCAAAGACCTTCTTCTATATTGATATTCAACTGTCAACTATATTCCTGATACAAACGTTTATTTATCCCCCCCCCCCCCCCAAATAATGTTGAAAATAGTTAAATGAAATACCTTTACAGCTGATTATTGAAAATATTATAATCATTATTTCATGATTTTGTTAGGTAGATGTCTTGTTTAACTGTCTTAATTCAATAATGATTTAAGGACTGTCAATATGGATATTTTATGATTTAATGTTAGGCTGTCAAATTTATTATGGATGATCAGTTATATTCACCATTATGTTACTTTAATTTTTGTTGGCATTATTAATATTCAAATACATCTATACATGTATAATACATTGTACATTATTTTAGAAGGGAAGATTTCGATACTTGTTTTTTTTAACAATGTTAAAACATACCAGGACAGTATACAGTCAGGGCAGTATCATGTATATAGCTACATATATGACTCACATAAAGACAGCTATGTTTAAATGGCTTACATCCGCATCTAATTGACTGATATATTAATTAAATGATAAACTTATCAGTTTGGGTTGAAAAGTACAGGGGTTAAAAATTTGTTTTATTGTCTATTTTCCTGTTTACAAAATTAACCCTTTATCTTACATAAAAAACTTTTCATTCAAAAATTATTTATCCTAATTTTTTTTGAGCCCCGGATGAACAAACATTTTGGGGAAGTTTTCCCGTTAACTTCCGTCTACAGAGAGTTTCAGTGTATAGATGCATGAATTGATTTTTGTAATGAATGAAATTTACAAAGTCTTGTTCAATGTATTGATCTAGATAATGTGAATCATACTGTACATATGAGCAATACTATCTCCAGCTCCATGTGTCATATTAAACTCTCAATCATTTCTTTTGATAAAATAATCTCTTTGTTTAGTAAAATAATTTTTGTTTAGTAAAACCATCACATACATTGTACACTATTTTGCAGTAGTATTGTAGTATTGTCCAACAATATTGACCTGGCACTTCATTAATTTTCGTAAAGGTCATTTGAATAAACACTGACCAGTTGTTATTGAATATATCAATATATTTGCTAACTACACATGTCAGTGAGGTGTGGTGTATTGGTATAGATGTCGGACTACAGATCTGAAGGACTCTGGTTCGATTCCTTATCAACACCACGTAATGATATATTTTTAATTTACTTGCAAAATTTAATTTGAAATGTTTTACTACAACTGGTTTTAGAATACCTTTTAGGTGGTGTTTTTATTAAAAAAAATTATTTCAATATAGTATCTTTCAATGCAGGTTCTCTTTGTGACATTATGCAATCGTACATGTATATGCTTTAGTGCATACACACTATTAATGCAGCTTTTAAAATACTACATAGAAAGCACACACAACAAAAGGTTTGCAATAGTGTTAAGAGAATTGCAATTTTTAAAATTAATAAAAACAGAAAATCGCTGAAATAGGATTCGAACCTACCAGTTTACGTCTACATTCTTCAAGTGAAACGCCTTTACCAAATGCGCTAAGAGGGATTTTAATTTACATATTTTAATGCATATTGGAATTTATATTGATTGACAAGTAGATCGTTACGTTTACGGAATATACCGACTACAAGGTCAAACGCAAGAGTGCCATGTCAATGTTGTTGGACAATATGCAATGTTCTTTTCAATGGATAACCAGGTATTTGTATATATGATAGTAAATAGAACTTAGTATAAATTTAGATTGATTAAGTCTTGCTTCAGATGAAATTTATGAACAAAGTATGAAAATTTAATAAGCTACAAATATAATGATAAGTTAAAGGCCCATTATGCCTCAGAAATACATTTATTTTCATTTCTCAAAAGCTTTTTAACTTTGGTGTACTTTTATAAAACTCATGTTTGCCATTTCTAAAAAATTAAAAATACTTTTTTTCTGAAGCTTTATGTGCCTTTCTGTCAATATACAATATTTATAACTATACTGGGGATATCACATACAACTACACTGGGGATTAGTCTGGATTGTGATTGTGGAGTGGCAAGTATAACTATACTGGGGAGTTGTCTGGATTGTGATTGTGGAGTGGCAAGTATAACTATACTGGGGAGTTGTCTGGATTGCGATTGTTGAGTGGCAAGTATAATTATACTGGGGAGTTGTCTGGATTGTGATTGTGGAGTGGCAAGTATAACTATACTGGGGAGTTGTCTGGATTGTGATTGTTGAGTGGCAAGTATAACTATACTGGGGAGTTGTCTGGATTGTGATTGTGGAGTGGCAAGTATAACTATATAGGGGAAATGTCTTGATTGTGATTGTGGAGTGGCAAGTATAACTACCCGGGAAATGTCTGGATTGTGATTGTGGAGTGGCAAGTATAACTACCGGGGATATGTCTGGATTGTGATTGTTGAGTGGCAAGTATAACTACCAGGGATATGTCTGGATTATGATTGTGGAGTGGCAAGTATAACTACACTGGGGAGTTGTCTGGATTGCGATTGTTGAGTGGCAAGTATAACTATATAGGGGAAATGTCTGGATTGTGATTGTTGAGTGGCAAGTATAACTATACTGGGGAGTTGTCTGGATTGTGATTGTGGAGTGGCAAGTATAACTACCCGGGAAATGTCTGGATTGTGATTGTGGAGTGGCAAGTATAACTACCGGGGATATTGTCTGGATTGTGATTGTGGAGTGGCAAGTATAACTACCAGGGATATGTCTGGATTATGATTGTGGAGTGCCAAGTATAACTACACTGGGGAGTTGTCTGGATTGCGATTGTTGAGTGGCAAGTATAACTAAAAAGGGGATATGTCGTGATTGTTGAGTGGCAACTATAACTACCATGGAAATGTTTGGATTGTGATTGTGGAGTGGCAAGTATAACTACCGGGGATATGTCTGGATTGTGATTGTGGAGTGGCAAGTATAACTACCAGGGATATGTCTGGATTGTGATTGTGGAGTGGCAAGTATAACTATACTGGGGAGTTGTCTGGATTGTGATTGTGGAGTGGCAAGTATAACTATACAGGGGATATGTCTGGATTGTGATTGTGGAATGGCAAGTATAACTACCGGGGATATGTCTGGATTGTGATTGTGGAGTGGCAAGTATAACTATCGGGGATATGTCTGGATTGTGATTGTGGAGTGGCAAATATAACTACCGGGGATATGTCTGGATTGTGATTGTGGAGTGGCAAGTATAACTATACAGGGGATATGTCTGGATTGTGATTGTGGAATGGCAAGTATAACTACTGGGGATATGTCTGGATTGTGATTGTGGAGTGGCAAGTATTAACTACCGGGATATGTCTGGATTGTGATTGTGGAGTGGCAAGTATAACTATGGGAGATATGTCTGGATTGTGATTGTGGAGTGGCAAGTATAACTATGGGAGATATGTCTTGATTGTGATTGTGGAGTGGCAAGTATAACTATGGGAGATATGTCTGGATTGTGAATTGTGGAGTGGCAAGTATAACTATGGGAGATATGTCTGGATTGTGATTGTGGAGTGGCAAGTATAAATACTGGGGATATGTCTTGATTGTGATTGTGGAGTGGCAAATATAAATACAGGGGATATGTCTGGATTGTGATTGTGCAGTGGCAAGTATAACTATCAGGGATATGTCTGGATTGTGATTGTGGAGTGGCAAGTATAACTATCGGGGATATGTCTGGATTGTGATTGTGGAGTGGCAAATATAACTACAGGAGATATGTCTGGATTGTGATTGTGGAGTGGCAAGTATAACTACCAGGGATATGTCTGGATTGTGATTTTGGAATGGCAATTATAACTATACTGGGGATATGTCTGGATTGTGATTGTGGAGTGGCAAGTATAACTATACTGGGGAGTTGTCTGGATTTTGATTGTGGAATGGCAAGTATAACTATACTGGGGTATTGTCTGGATTGTGATTGTGGAGTGGCAAGAATAACTATACTGGGGAGTTGTCTGGATTGTGATTGTGGAGTGGCAAGTATAACTATACTGGGGTTTTCTCTGGATTGTGATTGTGGAGTGGCAAGAATAACTATACTGGGGAGTTGTCTGGATTGTGATTGTGGAGTGGCAAGTATAACTATACTGGAGTATTGTCTGGATTGTGATTGTGGAGTGGCAAGTATAACTATACTGGGGTATTGTCTGGATTGTGATTGTGGAGTGGCAAGTATAACTATACTGGGGTATTGTCTGGATTGTGATTGTGGAGTGGCAAGAATAACTATACTGGGGAGTTGTCTGGATTGTGATTGTGGAGTGGCAAGTATAACTATACTGGGGAGGTGTCTGGATTGTGATTGTGGAGTGGCAAGTATAACTATACTGGGGTATTGTCTGGATTGTGATTGTGGAGTGGCAAGAATAACTATACTGGGGAGTTGTCTGGATTGTGATTGTGGAGTGGCAAGTATAACTATACTGGGGTATTGTCTGGATTGTGATTGTTGAGTGGCAAGTATAACTATACTGGGGAGTTGTCTTGAGTTGCGATTGTGGAGTGGCAAGTATAATTATACTGGGGAGTTGTCTGGATTGTGATTGTGGAGTGGCAAGTATAATTATACTGGGGAGTTGTCTTGATTGTGATTGTGGAGTGGCAAGAAATAACTTTACTGGGGAGTTGTCTGGAGTTGCGATTGTTGAGTGGCAAGTATAACTATACTGGGGAGTTGTCTGGATTGTGATTGTGGAGTGGCAAGTATAACTATACTGGGGTATTGTCTGGATTGTGATTGTGGAATGGCAAGTATAACTATACTGGGGTATTGTCTGGATTGTTATTGTGGAGTGGCAAGTATAACTATACTGGGGATATGTCTGGATTGTGATTGTGGAATGGCAAGTATAACTATACTGGGGAGTTGTCTGGATTGTGATTGTGGAGTGGCAAGTATAACTATACTGGGGAGTTGTCTGGATTGTGATTGTGGAGTGGCAAGTATAACTATACTGGGGAGTTGTCTGGATTGTGATTGTGGAGTGGCAAGTATAACTATACTGGGGTATTGTCTGGATTGCGATTGTTGAGTGGCAAGTATCACTCACTATACTGGGGAGTTGTCTGGATTGTTATTGTGCAGTTGGGAAGGCCACGCTTTATTTACAAATGACTCATGAATATATTAGAGTTCAACAGTATATGAATGCGGCTTTAGAGAAATATCGCTTTATTGATCCCATCCGCAAACAGTTTTTAAGTTACCTTTGTTATAAACCAAAGCATAAATAAAATAGCGGCCAATTTTGATAGTGAGCATTGAGCCATTGCAGTCAATAGTAATCCAGATAAGGTAAAAACAGGATATACGACAGAACATAAATTTATAAATTAAAGGTGATCTTGTACACGCAGATTTAAAAATTCAGTAAAGGAGATTTTTGTCGAATGACTTTTTTAAAAGAAATAACATGTATACTGTGCTTGTTGTGCAATTGAAGATTACAATAAAAGTGACTTTGCTAAATTGTTCTTAATATATAGTCAATGCACTTGAGTTGTTTTAATGGGATTAAAACAAATGGATAACAGTGAAATAAAAATAGTAAGCTCTTTTCTTCTGTAAATTGTTTTTGAGTGGAATTTTCTGCTAGTTTTCAAACAATATTGAAGCTCTTCATAAATTTATGGAAAAAAAATGAAAATAACAAGCTGAAACAAGATGTTTTTCTTTTGTAATTTTTGAATATATATTATATTTTTCTATAACACAAATTGTTGTGCTTTTTAGAGAAAAAGTTTAGCAAAACCTTAAAAATATTAACAAACTAGATCAATACAATATTGTATGATTGTTGCTTTTGTTAATACTAAAGAAGAGAATGATTTTCAGGTCGGAATAAGTACATTTATATGGTATGTGTATACCAATATACTACATAATAATAAAAATTTTAAAACGTTTTGTATTCAACCACTTGTTAAATTTAACAGTGTTTTATAAAAGGTGTAGTAGAGCTATACTTGGTTCAGGTATATATTGATCGAGAATTTTCAATAGATTAGACTGGTACCTAGTATACATTGTATGACGATTAATCCACAGAGGTCCTATCTTTATGTGTTTATATTGAATTTTGTATAATGATATGGTTTTGTATGTGGATAACAAACATGTACACAAAAGATCAATAAAGACAAATGATTAACTGAATAGATGGCAGAGGTTGCTTTTTTAAATTGAATTCAATTGAAAGTGACAGTTATTGCCATATAGTGTTATTTCACAGTAAGCATAATACTTTGACAATTTAATGCTAATTTGTGTGCAGCTCTGTAAAAAGAAATATTACAACTTTAAAGCAGAACACCTCCAGATTCATGTTAATTTTTATGAAATTTTTTTAAATGTATTCAAAAGTAAAATATTGTGAGGTGAACAAATGAAGTAATTAACATATTGCAATTGGCATTTACAATCCAAGAAAATTATCAAAAAGTCGTCAACATATGCAAAAACGGCCCTTACTGCGTTAGTAACACAGTAGAAATATGGTGATAAAATACTGCAAAATCAGTCTTAAACTGCACATAACATGTAAACTATAACTTGGATCTTGAATGTTTTTACATTTCTTAAAATTCTAGTACATTTTTATCAATATTTATTTTCTTGAAATATTTTGGCTTATCTGGAGGTGTGCAGCTTTAATAGTATTCAAGTATTGGATGGAAAAAACAACAAACATTATTACAGTATTAAACAAAGATTAGTACTGATACACAAATTAATTTATGCTATCACATTCTGTTGCACTCAAGATACTCTGTTATAAAATACATTTTAAAACTACAATAGTCAAGATAATGTACTTCAAAACCTAGTGGTAAAACAGGTAATATTAAAGTATAGTTACTTCCCTTCTCTACCATTTTTTTCCAATACACATGATTAACGTATTTAAGCTGAACATATGTTCATATATTTCCTTTGTTGTTTTATTGTAAAATCGAGGTTAAACTAAATGTTTGTTGACTGAATGTATGAACGATTGAGAAAACTGATACGACAAATGTTTTTAAACGGTCTATCAGTCTTGCATATCGATATACATTCTTATATTCAGACATTGATTTGAGATGTTATAAAGGTCAGCTCTTGGGGTTAGCATTATATGTGTTGTAAGGTTGAATGAAAGTACATGCATATTGGTTTATTTTTTATGCAAATTGAACTGATTCTTGTTTTCAATTTTTTCCCTTATTTAATAGCAAATGAAGGACTGAGATAGATTTTAGTATGTTAAAGAAAATTGTTAAAAAATAAGATTTCCTGCAATATTTGAATATTATTCTTTTCACTATTTCAGATATCTTTAATACCTTCTGTAAGGATGGGTTAGTTAGTTCATTTCCACTAAAAACTATAGAATGAAGAAGTATTTACAGTATAACACTTCACATTATCGTGAAGCTCCCACAGGCATTGGGGTCCATTTGCCAAAAAGACAAACCATTGATACTTGTCAAAATGAAGCAAGGGTTCCAAATATTCTGGATTTATCCGGGAGGCCTAATATTCATCATGGTATGAAGGCTACAGAACAGAAAGAAGCCAAAGAGCAGGAAGCTGCATTAGATTTGTCCAAGTATGGAAGGCAAGAGGTGAGTTCATTTCTTTTCTCGTTTAATAAATTGGAATACATGATACTTTTAATATTGACCATTTGGAAATGCCTTTTTACCCTTACCATGCTTAATATCTTAAATGGACTTGCCCGGATTAGATATCTTAAATGGACTTGTCCAGATTAGATATCTTAAATGGACTTGTCCAATTAGATACCTTAAATGGATTTGTCAAGATTAAATATCTAAAATAAACTTGTCTAGATTAGATATCTTAAATGGACTTTTCCAGATTAGATATCTTAAATGGATTTGTCCAGATTAGATATCTTAAATGGACTTTTCCAGATTAGATATCTTAAAAGTATTTGTCCAGATTAAATATTTTAAATGGACTTGTCCAGATTAGATATTTTAAATGCACTTTTCCAGATTAGATATCTTAAATGGACTTTTCCAGATTAGATATCTTAAATGGACTTTTCCAGATTAGATATCTTAAAAGGATTTGTCCAGATTAAATATTTTAAATGGACTTGTCCAGATTAGATATTTTAAATGCACTTTTCCAGATTAGATATCTTAAATGGACTTTTCCAGATTAGATATCTTAAATGGACTTTTCCAGATTAGATATCTTAAATGGACTTGTCCAGATTAGATATCTTAAATGGACTTGTCCAGATTAGATATCTTAAATGCACTTTTCCAGATTAAATATCTTAAATGGATTTGTCCAGATTAAATATCTTAAATGTTGAAAATTGTGCAATATAATCTTTGAAATTTTCAAAATTATGAGGATCCTATTTTAAGCATTTACCTATTTCTTTTTATGAAAAACACTATTTGTGGTATAAAAAGAATATTTATTTTTAATTGCTATGTTAACTTATTCAAAAGACATGGGCTGTTCCAAAAATGTTTTCACTGTCAGCACAATGGGGCTTGTAAATTTGTTTTATACATTATCTCTGTAGTAATCAAACACTATTGGCGGAAGTTTATTTTGTATATTTAACCGTCCAGCTTATGTGTTTGTTTTAATGACAAAATCTAGAACAATACTTTATAGGGTCATTTTGTAGTTATTGACCATCTCTTTTCTGTCATAAGAGGTCAAATTTAAGAAGGCTTAACTTGAAAACATCTTGACAAACCAGAAAGTTTGCATTTCTACACTCCCAATTTGGTTCAGCTTAACTGATTTAAGATTTTTTGTTAAAAATGCACACATTACGGCTCACATAATGGGAAAGCATATGAAGTAAAATTAAGATTTATAAAGAGAAAGGAGATTTTCTATCATTATACAATTAATTGAATAAAGTTTTAGGCGACATTGGCATTTGCAAGAATATTGGTAGCCTTGAATGCCTAGATTTAAATGTAAATGAATGTCATGTGTATAAAATATTTTATTTATTTCATGATGAAGTCGCAGGAAGAGGCATTGGATTTGAGCAAACCATGTGTCAAAAGACCAGAACGTCCTATGAGCCAATCATATCCTCAGACACATTCAGTCAACCAATCACAACAACCCATACAAACACCTCCTGCTACCAGACATTCTAAGTCTCCGGCTGGCCAACCATACAGCTTGTTACAAGCTGCACTGAATTCAAGCCAACCAAATGCTGGGTTAAATCCAATATTTGAAAGGATTGGCCAGTCAACAGCAGTTATGTTAGACCAAAGGGCAATGATTTTTTCCACTGCAGGTAATTTAAATTAATATCGTCTGTCATATGTTGTGGTTTTGAAAGGAAAATCTGGATTATTCATGTATCTATATGTTTTCAAGACATTTTGCACTGGAAACATAAATATAATTAATATTTGCAATTAAAAGACAAGAGTATTCTGTGGCTGAGAGTATGGTTAAGGTTTGCTGACTTGAAATGCCTTGCCAGTCAGTGCTATGGGCCTATACCAACAGGCACTTATAATTCTTTCACTAGTCAGCCAGTTAATTGAAAGGCAGCCGTTCTAGTAGGTGCCTGCTGATACTTGAAATAATGAATGGCACTGCAGATCTTCTTCCATTGGTAGAAGACCTTCATAGTATTGATGAGATTTAAAAACCAAGCCATATAAAGTTAAAAACGTAAAAAAAAACAGAAATCAACTAATTGATCATTGAACATTTTTGTCAATCTTAGAAAAGTTTAACTGCCATTCTATTTATATAGTTCTTAATTGTGTTTCATTTTATATTTCAACTATTTAGGTATGCCAGTGACAGACTATGGAAGGACAATTAAACCATTCTCCTCATTATCCTCACGACCACTGGGAATCACTGTGCCCCACATGACACCAGGGGCAGTAATTCAGGGAATGCACAAACCTATTGCTATAACAACACCACAGCCACATAACTCCTCAGTTAACACCAAAAGTCAAACTGTGAGTGATGCATCAGTTAGTGTGACAGATGCCAGTCATTCTATACCTAGTACAAGTAGCCAAGGTTTCTTAGTTAGCCAGTCAAATTACTCCTCTGGACACAACATTCAGATCAGTAGACAATTGAACTCTGGAAAGATTGGAAATGTAGACTCTATAAAATATTCTCCTGAAATATTAAAAGATGCAAACAGGGTTGAACGTTATTTAATCCAACCGCCGAAGGGTTTGAATAATGTTGGGAATATTAATGTGGTACCGACAGAGGTTCTGGCCGGATTCTCTTGCAATCAGTGTGTAAAAACATTCAAAACTAAAGCTGCATTAAAGCTTCACACTACAGTACATAAAACAGCAGAAGAGAGACAATATGCATGTACAATTTGTTCTCGGCGTTTCTTACATCGCCACCATTTAGTTGTTCACCAGAGGAAACATAGTGGTGAGAAACCATTCAAATGTACTGCTTGTTCTAAAACATTCATGGCGATTTTTCTTCTTCACAAACACCTTAGAAAACATGCTCGTGAAACTGGACCAGTTTCTCAGATATCAACAGACCAGTTAAAACAGCTTCATGATAAAAAGCTTCTACAGCTTCCTACTTCAAGAGTTGTTTCTGACGTAAATACAGCAAAACCACCTTCTGACAGTAGCTCAGTTATAGTGTTAGATGATGATGATGAAGAAGTTGTAAATGCCACTGTTGAAATAAAAGTTCATGATGGTGATGAAGGAAAATTGGACAGAAAACGATATGAGAGGCATAAAAATAAACAAATTCTTGATATGTTTGAAAAAGATCCTAGCATGATACTTGAAAAATTAAAGGCAGATTTGATGAAGAACAAAACAGAATTTGAAAACCAGAAACATATAAAGACTGTTACTGAAGAAACTGTTGAAATAATCAAACATTCAAAGGCTGAGTTTGAAAATAAATTAACAGAAGAAAGAAGTAACAGCCCTGAAAAAATAAATACTAATATTGATAAGAAAGTGACAGAAAACAACGAACAATCAAAGGTCCAGGAGGATACAGATTATTTCATTAAGTCTGAAGATGTAGATCGCACATATAATTACATTATTAAAGACAGTAATTATGATGAAGTTAATGTTGACATGGGAGAGAAAGAAGCCATTAAACAAGAAGTGCTTGATGATATTCAGAGGGAAGAAAGTATCGAAAAACAAAATCCCTTTCCTGTGTTTGAATCAGATGATGAAGTTGAACTTGATTTTACTACTGGTGAATTGAAAGTGGTTGGTAAAAGAAATATGTATGAGGTAGACATGAAAGAAAATGGCACAGATACTGAAATGACAAATGATGCAAATATAGAAAGTGAAAATAAAGTAGCAGCCATAGAAATAGAGGTTAAAAATGAAAATTGTTTTGAAAATAATGAAGATGGTGACTGCAAGAAAGAAATTGATGATTTAAATAAGACTTTGTGTGCAGATAATGAAAATGCAAATAATTCAGAATGGTCATTTAAGAAAGGCAAGTTTGATTCAAACTTAAAGCAGGATAAGCAGGATTCAAACTTTGATCATGACAGAGTTGAGTATAACAAGGAATTAGAGAAGTGGGAAAACATTAAGGCAGATTACGTTAATTCTATTGAGGACGGTAGTTCGAAAGATGATTTGTTGAAAGAAAAGAATTATGAGAAATCAGATATGAATAAAATTGAACATGTAAGTGGAAATATATTTGAAAAGTTTAAAGAAATAAGAGATGGTATGAAACAATCAGAAGATAAAAAGTTAGAAGATAAATCTATCAAAGATGGTATAAATGACATTAATAGAGATGTTGAAGCTATTCTTGGAGTCATCAAACAAAAGTTATGTGAAAGTGAGGAAAACAAATCCGAGTTATCTAAGAAACCCAAACTTAATGAAAAAGGCGAAGGAAGTGAACTGCTTCTAAATGTACTTGCTCAGAACAAAACTAATGGTACTGAAACAGTAGGCCTTATTACACCAAAGCATATCCGACACAGGAAAGGAAAAAAGAAAGGGAAAAAAGTAAAGTGCGAGATATGCTCAAGAAGTTTTCATTCGGAACATTATTTAGTGTTGCATATGGCAGTGCATAAAAGAAACCCAATGTTACAGTCATTGAAGAAAGCGAAGGACTATCAAATGAAAGCAATGGGCTTCTTAAATAAAACAAATGTAACTTGTGATATTTGTAAGAAAGTTTTTAAGTTTCAAAAAAGTTTGAATTCCCACATGCGTGTTCATAGTGAAAAAATGATCCAAACTAAATTGTACCGTAAAGCTTTTAGGGACTTTATGGCGGAGGCGGCACCCCAAAGCTCAAGAGGCCTTAGTTCAGATAAAGAAAAATCTCACACACTGAACACTGACACAGAATCTCAGTTTAGAAGATTTAGTTCAGGGGAACAACTTCTAAATAAGGAAAGCAAAATTTCTGCAGCTTCTTTAAAGAGGGTCAGTTGTGATATTGAAAATCTGAAAGCTTTTAACGAAGACCAGTATGATGATCCACCAATAAAAGTGATAATTGGTGATGATAACATTAAACGATACTTATGTCATGCTTGTGATAACACATATACTACTCGACAGAAATTAAGAATGCATGCCCTCATTCATAAAGACAATTGTTTTCTTTGTCATGTGTGTGGTAAGTCATTTTTCCGTCATATAACACTTGAAAAACATATTTCAACACATAGGTTACCCAGACCTCATGTCTGTGAAACTTGTAAAAAATCATTTATACATAGAAGTAGTTTGATGCGACATAAGGTCATTCATGAAAAATCAATACCAAGCATTAAACAACAAGTAGCAGACATAAACTTTGAAATGAAAATGTTGGACACATACACAATGCTAAGGCAAGAAAGAATGCAGAAGTTCCAGGCACAGAAATGTAATGAAACATCAAATAATGAACCAATGTTGTTGAAAACAGGGAATAAATTTGATCCTCTGGATTTATCTGTGGGCATTAAAACAGAAGATCTTGGTTTACCCCCAGTTTTATCTCCAGTAAGTGCTGGCATACCAAATGTAACACATGCCAGTACCTGGAATCTAAGCCCACCATTGATAACACATGAAACAAATAGTGATATTGGGGAAAGGTTTTCAGACAAAACTAAAGTAATTAAAAACATTGAAAATGATAATAAGCTTGGGAAGGTTGAGTCTCTCAAGTCATTAGAAATAAGAGAAAATCGAAAAAGACGGACAGAGTCTACTTGTAGTGACTCAGACATGGTAGCCGTCGAAGGGCACCAGGTTGTCCAGAAAAGGTCACGGAAAACACGTGTTTATCAGACGTCGTGTAGGGTTTGTAAAGAAGTGTTCCCAAATGTAATGTTATTAAAATCTCATATGGTAGTGCATAATACTGTGGAGACACACTTGTACGAGTGTCACATTTGCAGACATAGATTCACTCAAAGCTGCAGTCTGTTACGGCACTTGAAAACCAGTTGTCAGGAAAATCGTATGAAATGTGTGCCATGTGGGAGAACGTTTCATCGGAGAAACACGTTTGATCAACATATGCGTCTTCATCAAGGTGGACCTCCAAACCTGGATGGAAGTTTCTTTGACAAAAGACTTGATGAGGCTGAAGTTATTGAAGAGCGAGAAAGTGATATAGAAAATAATAACCTTGCAAAAATTGAGGGCGGGGTTATGCATCCGGATGGTCATATTCCTCCTTTAAGATTAGAACTGATAAATATGATAGAAAAAGATTCAGATAATAATGTCACGGTAATTAAGCACGATGGAAACGATTCTGATTCAGATGCCAGGACTTACCTGTATTCAGAAGGAGAAGTTCATTCTAGGTATAATTCAGACTTTTCTGATAATGACTGGTCCCCACCACAATCACCAAGAAAACCATCAATTCCTCAGGACTTATCTGTCACTAGTGGAAATATGACATTAAATTTGCTTAGTGCAGTGTGTAGTGACATTATTAATGCTGAAAAAGAACAGGAGGTGAAAAGAAAAGAAATGGAAGAAAAACAAAAAGAACTTGAGACAATTGAAATTTTGGCAAATTTGAAAAGAGGTGCGATGCAGAAATCAGCTAGTCCCTCTTCAGCAGATATGAATGTATATCATGTTGCCTTTCCATTTACCTCTTGTTATGATAAAAATAAAGTACCTTCAAGTACCCAATCAGAAAGTACTACTCTCTCAGATCTAAGAACATCACAGCATAAATCAAACTTCACAAGACAGAGTGATCATACAGAACATTTAATTAATGATAAAAATAAAATGGAACAGCATTCAGATCATTTGAATTTTGATCATGATAAAAAGAATTCCCACAATAAACCTGAATCCCTACCATTTACATCTTTTGCTACCCATAATCGACAAAATTTGCCGTCAGTGGTCCAAAGTATACCAATTTCAACAGTTGAGCCAAAGATTCCCACAGTTGTCCTGGAAGTTTCTGCTGAAGCTGAACGGAAGCGGCGGCAACGAGTAGAAAGTACCTGGCAAGAAAAAACATTTAATGCTTTAACAGTGGGAAAACCAAATGTATCTATAAATGGTCCACATTCTGTGTCTGCAGTTCCTCCATCATCTGTTTGGAATGCACATCATAATTCAAACATCCCTCATTCAGTTGCAGATGGACAACATTCATCTCCAATTATTCCACTTTCATCAGCAATAAATCAACAGTTATCACCATTCATTTCACAGTCATCACCAAGAAGTCCACACACATCAATGGGAACCCCTCAACAATCAGCTGATCACTTGTCGCCTGTCATACAGAATATGTTAGGAAGATCACCCCATTTCACATGTAGTCCTCAGTCACATGTAAATGATCCACATTTATCAAAAGATCTATTACATCAGGAAATGTCACAGATGAAAATGCACTATCCTGCTATTCAAGAGCGTTTGTCACTGTTGATGAAAGCTCAGGTACCCACAAACATACCTGGATCTTCCCACAATACTTCTGCTCAATCTACCAAAACTAATTTGTCTGAAAGTACAAATTCACACAGAACTTTTGTACAATCAAATAAAACTTTAGTGAAAAATGTACAAAATGCAGAGAATGATGTACCCCAAGACTTATCAGTGAAGAAATTTTCTCAGGAACATACTTCTGTGCATTCAAGGTCATTGCACTCGAGGTCTCTTTCCACGGATTTAGCAAGATTGACTCCAAATAAAAGCAAAAGATCAGATACAACAAGAACTTTTTCAGCAGACATGCCAGTACCATTGACAAAAGAGAGTACAAGACAATTGTCATTGGAGAGTAACTCAGTTATTTCGAGGCCAGAAAGTTCAAAGTCTTTGCCAACAGATGTTCTTAAGTCAGGTTATTCTGAGATGAAAAGATCAGAAAGTGTTCCTCTACAGCAACCACCCCTAGTGCCTATGCTTCAGTGTAACCTCTGTAGTCGTGTACTCTACAACAAAACTGATCTTCATCTTCATATGATGGAACATGGAAGGTCAGCAGGTGCTGTGTACAAGATGTTGCAAAGCAACAAGGTACTTTTAGAACAGAAAAGACCCTCAATTGAATCTCCTTTAGGTAGGTTCTTGTAAGAACTACTCATATTTTATTTCTTATTTTTAAATAATATTAATAACAGTAAAATCTACATTTTACATTCTCATGTCTACATAAATGTAATTTATTTATATACATGTTTTAAGAAAGGTACATGGGTTGTCTGTTGTTACATGTTAAGGTTGTTGATTTTAAACTACTTGGCCCTCACTGCTATGAGTTCAAATTCTGTCAGAGAGTTTGGATTTTATCATATGAGGAAGTTTTCCAGCTAGCCAACGAAACTTCAGTGGTTCTACTCAAGTGCCTATTTGTGTCTGAAAATAATTCAGATGGACAACTGAGGTCTTCCTCCACCAGTAAACATGTAAAGTCACCATTTAACCTGCGAAGTAAAACACAAACAAAGAAATAAATTAAAAAAATAAGAAAGAAAGAAAGTGAAAGACTGATTTGTTTGTTTATTTAAAAAAAAAAAATTATCTGAACATAACACAAAGTAAGCATTATCATTGTAAACTAAAGTATAATTCAAAACTTTATTCCCTCACTATGAAATATTATTTCAGATTTCACTAAAGCAGGGCCTAGTAATGGTTTTGGGACACATATCTAAGGAATCCAAACAAATACCACCTACTTCGTTGGACCTTTCAACAAAAAAATCTGAGAAACCAAAAGCTATCAATTTGTCTGCATCACAAACTGCGGACAACTCACCAGGAGTACAGTCTAAGTTGTTTATGCCATTTGTTCACAAAGCATCTGATAAGTTGTCTCCTATGTCAAGTAGTGATCAAAGTGATTCTCTTTCTTCCCCATCTACTCCATCAGGATCTTCTCAATCAAGCTGCAAGTCTGGACGCACTTCGTCAAGAATTACGCATGAAAATCTATGCACGTAGAAGATCACAAGGACTTGATGAGCTCAAGGTGGAATTCAAACCTCCAGAGCCTACTGAAGTATGATCCTTTCTATAGTTCAAGACTTAAAACGATATGTATTTACCATTACATAATCCTTAATAATTCATGTTATGATTTTGTCCTTTAAATTTGGAACAATTAGTAGAAGTATTTTCAGGGATGCCAATATTAAAATAGAATAAGCCTCCCAGCAGTATTAGTTTGGTAAAATGCCATAATTTTCAGGCTGTCCTTAAAAAACATTAAGTTTGTATTCTTTTTTTTATTTATCAGTTCTGCCCAACTGACAATCTTTTTCTGAATGTATTTCTACTTCAAACTACAGTATCAAGTTTAACCATATAAAATGTTTCTTATTATCACTCAACATTTGTGAGTGTTCAATACTCTAGCAAGACTATTTCCAGAATTATGCCCCTTTTGAACTTAGACTTTTTTTTGAGAAATTGGTAATTTTTAATCCAACTTCTTCAATCATGATAGGATTTTAAAAATGTTATATTTTGATAACAGGGATGTTTAAAAAATAACTTTAGAGTGTCCTTCAGTCCGTCTGTCTGTACATAAAAACTGTTTCCTGTGATCACTTTTAAAGAACTTTTTCTACAAATTTACTTAAAATATGAACCTAAGTGAATGGCCAATGGCCCTTCAGAATGTTGCTTGGGCTCTTACCGGTAGGGGACTTATGGATTGCTTGCAATACTATGATAATTGCTTGTTCAAAACTTTATTCCCTCACTATGAAATATTATTTCAGATTTCACTAAAGCAGGGCCTAGTAATGGTTTTGGACACATATCTAAGGAATCCAAACAAATACCACCTACTTCGTTGGACCTTTCAACAAAAAAATCTGAGAAACCAAAAGCTGTCAATTTGTCTGCATCACAAACTGCGGACAACTCACCAGGAGTACAGTCTAAGTTGTTTATGCCATTTGTTCACAAAGCATCTGATAAGTTGTCTCCTATGTCAAGTAGTGATCAAAGTGATTCTCTTTCTTCCCCATCTACTCCATCAGGATCTTCTCAATCAGCTGCAAGTCTGGACGCACTTCGTCAAGAATTACGCATGAAAATCTATGCACGTAGAAGATCACAAGGACTTGATGAGCTCAAGGTGGAATTCAAACCTCCAGAGCCTACTGAAGTATGATCCTTTCTATAGTTCAAGACTTTAAAACGATATGTATTTACCATTACATAATCCTTAATAATTCATGTTATGATTTTGTCCTTTAAATTTGGAACAATTAGTAGAAGTATTTTCAGGGATGCCAATATTAAAATAGAATAAGCCTCCAGCAGTATTTAGTTTGGTAAAACTGCCAGAATTTTCAGGCTGTCCTTACTAGCCTAGCTCTCAACTGGTAGCATAGGCAAGTCAATGCTACTGCTCAAAAGTTTTAAGTTTGTATTCTAAACTTTGTTGGAGTATTTATTTATTGTAATTCAGTTCTGCCCATTCACGAGTTTTAGACATTATTAACTTGACAATCATGAATGAATATGCAATGGAAATAATCTTATTATGACTTCTGAATATTTCTAAAATTTATTAGTTAAGTTTGACAAAAAAGTGATGAATTTTCAGCCCATTTTGCACTACAGTATCAAGTTTACCAAATAATGGACATAATTGTAGACCAACAAATATGTATTGATCAAGTAATAGCTTGTTGACAATATCATGATTGTGTTGACAATAACATGATTGTTGGTACATGACTGATTAATATACATATATCACACATTGCCTAATGAATATACATGTCCCACATACAATGTACACATTCCACATTGCCTAATAAATACATAAATATACAATATACACATTCCACATTGCCTAATAAATACATAAATATACAATATACACGTTCCACATTGCCTAATAAATATACAATATACACGTCCCACATTGCCTAATAAATACATAAATATACAATATACACGTTCCACATTGCCTAATAAATACATAAATATACAATATACACGTTCCACATTGCCTAATAAATACATAAATATACAATATACACGTTCCACATTGACTAATAAATACATAAATATACAATATACACGTTCCACATTGACTAATGAATACATAAATATACAATATACACGTTCCACATTGACTAATAAATACATAAATATACAATGTACACATTCCACATTGACTAATAAATACATAAATATACAATATACACGTCCCACATTGCCTAATGAATATACATGTACATATCACACATTGCCTAATGAACATACATGTACATACATGTATTACATGCACATTGCCTAATGAATATGCATGTACATATCACACATTGTCTAATGAACATACATGTACATACATGTATTACATACACATTGCCTAATGAATATACATGTACATATCACACATTGCCTAATGAACATACAACATACATGTATTACATACACATTGCCTAATGAATATACATGTACAAATTACACATTGCCTAATGAATATACATGTACATATTGCACATTGCCTAATGAATATACATGTACATATTGCACATTGCCTATTGAATATACATGTACATATTGCACATTGCTTAATGAATATACATGTACATATTAAACATTGCCTAATGAATATACATGTACATATTACACATTGCCTAATGAACATACATGTACATACATGTATTACATACACATTGCCTAATGAATATACATGTACATATTGCACATTGCCTAATGAATATACATGTACATATTGCACATTGCCTAATGAATATACATGTACATATTGCACATTGCTTAATGAATATACATGTACATATTAAACATTGCCTTATGAATATACATGTACATATTACACATTGCCTAATGAATATACATATTAAACATTGCCTAATGAATATACATGTATATATCACACATTACATAATGAATATACATATATCATACTACAGATGACAGAATCAGAGAAGTTAAAGTTGAATTACCGTAGGGAATGTAACCGACAGGCAGCACAGAGGAGTCGTATGAGGAAGAAGGATTTGGTAGACAGTCTGCTAGAGGTATGAATAAATTAACTTTATCTTACATTTTTCCAGTCTACAGTTTGTTCTTCATTATTTAATTATAATGTTTCTTTAGTACTAATTATATGACAAGATTTGAGCAAGTTATTAATCCATTTTTAGACACTATTAAGATTGGTTGCAGTTTGAATTAGGGGTGTCACGTTTATCCAATTAAACGGGTATGGTTGGTTTTTAGCTAAAAACCTGCAAAGAGGAGAAAAAAGTTTTAAATTGATTCTAAACATTACATTAGATTCTTATAACAAGATATGACAATTTGTATTTCAGTTGTACTAAATAACGTATTTTTTCCCTGATCGATTATGGTTCTACCTGATTGGAAAATGGTCAGTCCATATTGTAATCATTTTGAGTACAAAGGATTTTATTAGTATGGTCGGTTAAACGTTTAACACGGTTCTCTGGTCTCCGTTTAAACGGTTAGCATTTCTCTAACTGTGACTACCCTAGTTTGAATGCATAAAAGATTTCAATAAAATGAAAGAAGCATGAAAATCCAAATTTGTATTTTTCTTATAATTTATTTTTATAATATTTTGCTATATTTACTGCATGAATCACTTGCACAAATGCAAGCTGTCAAATTGTACCTTATTCTGTAGCATTATACTGTAGTATTGTAGTTTCATGTTGATATGATCTTATGTGGACTAGATAGTTAAATTCCACTCTTCATATTGAAGATAGCAGGTGTGTGGCTGTACCACTGCAGTATTACTGTATGTTGTATATATGTAATATAGTCACTCACTCAACTATACTGTAGAAGACATGCTACTTACATGTATCACATTGCCAGTCATTTACACCAAATCACTTCAAATGATTTACATTTATACTGGTAACACTTTTCAACAATAGGGCTGTTTATTTTACCAATTGAGTATATGATGCAAGAAGTGTTTGCATTTAGTTGTTTTATGCTAAAAAAAAGTAAAGGATAGTGGGGCTATCCTTCTTGACTTTGTGTTAACAGAAGCGTTGGTTACATTTATATATATATATCACAAAGCCTTGAAGACATTAACTTTAAATGTCAAGCATGTCTTCATGATGATAATTGTTGGTGACAAAGATCTGTAACTCTAGTTTGAGTTTTCAATGAATTATTCCCTTTACTTGCATGGCCCTTGTTTTACAAATTCTCAAAACCCCTGTCTGTAAACTCTTGTTTTGTTTAGTAATTGTAGAGTGCTTAAATTAATATATATAACAAACTTTTACTGGTGAAAGATAACAATGATATTTTGAATACAATAGGGTTATTCACATTGAATTAATTTTTATGCAGATATGTTATTAAGTGATCCATTTAGATATTGCTTGTTTTTGTAGAATGTCAAACATTTAACAATATTCAGGGTGACCTTTCCACTTTCCAGATGACATAAGATATGGAATTGAATTGTGGCACACATAAACCAATACCAATTTATATTTTCTTAGCTTGTTCTCTTATTTCAAAACAAATTGAAGCAGTGCAAATTGCACAGTTTTCTCTTTCCTGAATGACATATTTTGTTCAAACATTTGAACCACAGTTTTAAAGTGATGCAGAATATCATGTGAAAATGGTGATTTGGTGTGAAACATTCTTGATTTATGTCATTTTATTGCTTTAATCTCTGGACATTTTATGTGATTTTGAAGGTCCATAAACTTGTGTAAGACTTGCATGTTATATTTTGAACTGAAACTACATTCTTAATACTCCGATCAGATCATGAATGTTTTTTTTTTAAAGTGAAGTTCAAAATTTTATATATTTTATGACACCCTATATATTCAACATACAAATATGTGATACATGTAAACATGTACAGTCATTTAAGTGGCATGTTTAAATGAAATTATTTGGTTATATAAACTAATTCAGTATAGACTATTATTGAAGACTTTTCAGTACATGTAATATTGTATGACAATTTAACTTGTTTGTATTGAAACTTGTGTGATAGCAATACATCTCTTTGGTTCTCATCATCAAGAACTATATCATCATCATCATCATGTTATATACCAGCATCACCATAAGAATCACCATCATCATCAACATGAACAACCCTCATCACTTTATATGCCAGCATCATCACTAGAATGATCACAATCGTCATTTCTTGCAAGAACATTATGTCATTTTAATGTTTCTAATCATCATCATTGTAATCATTTTTGACTTATAGATATTATTGTTTTTGCTCAATGCAAAATATGATAGTCAACATTTAATTGTAACTTTCAAGTTATTTGTTAATGAAATTTACCAGTTTTCTCAATTGATGAATATTTTAATTTACCAGTATTGAAGTAAAAGCCAGTTTTTGAATTATAGTAGTTTTAAAATCATGCCCTTTTCTAAAGTTGAGGTTATTTTAAGAGACAGGGTCTGTAAGATAGTAGGATCTGAAGAGAAAGAATTTAACTAGCAGAAGCATTTGATGTCTTTATATTTAGTGTTAAGCATTTACAAACCATTGTATCATTTCATAACATATGAATGGTGTCATTTCATTACCCCATCCTCAAAACAATGCATGTTATTTTCATGTAGCTTTTTGTGTCAGATTGTTTCCCTCTTTTTTAGTATTCTAGGATATCATCAGTGTCAATGACTACCAACCATAGATTTTGCTCTGACCATCCAAATTCAGTGCATTAAATGAATTTCATAATACAAGGATGCTGTGAATGTCATTTTTTTTTTCACTGCTATTTTTTTTTCTGGATCATGCATGTTGAATTCCTGGTTGAAAATGTTTTGAACACTGTCTGTGTGTGTCTGTATAAGTTAGTATCAAAGTATAATCAGTGTGATTAACTTCTTGTATGGAATTCTGTTAAAGTTCCTAAATGTTACACGTGTAGAAATTAATACCGAGTCATTCTTGCCTTGATATTTTATCTGTTTATGTAACTTATCTTTAGATTTAACATTAAACTTCAGACTGAAAAGATTGAACAAGTATTTGGTAGTAGAATACCTACAAATCTGCAAAACACATAAATTCTCAGGTATTAATAAAGGCATGTTCAAGTATTTAAAAAAATCCTCTGAAATCATTGATTTATAATGAGGACTTTGTTGTTGTTGTTTTGCCTGATATAGAAAGAGAGCTAAGAAATAATTGTTTATATAAATAAACCATATTTTACATAAACAATTTATTTACTTACATAAATGATTTTAAATTTTATATAATGTATGTTTGTTGGTGGATGGGACAATGAAAATAAGAGTTGACTAAAAAAAAATAGAAATTTTCAAAATTGGTATGCTACTACAAAAGCACTTGTCCTACTTTTTTATTAATCTATACACTGACTTACTGGAGTCTTTCTTTTGCTCTTAGGATCTCCATAAAGAGGAGGTTGTCCATAGCGATCTCCAACGAAAGATGGAGGCCCTTGTGGCGGAGAAAAATTCTCTTCTCAAAGCTCTCAAGTCTCATTCATGTGTTAAAGCCTCTCATATACCATCAGAGAATAATTCTATCTTTGAAGCTATCGATGGCAAAGAAGGTGTCGTAGATGTGCAAACATCTTCAGAGAAACGTTCTGCTACCTTGGCACGCACTCTAAACTTAGAGGAATGCTCAGAAGGCAACAAGTCATCTGTTGACCAAAATTCTGTTCATAAAAACATGGATACAAAACATGAAGAACATTGTTTGGGCAAGGAAGTTTCTGTAATTGAACCCAAAGCTGACTCTCCTGTTACAACTGAAGACGAAAGCAATAATGATGACAATGTTAAACCTTATGTGAATGATAGAAAACATGAGGAAATTTCAAATAGGTACTGTGAGGACAGTGATGAAAGTTTTGAATATTCAGATGAAACGGAATCTCCAATTTTAAAAATGCTTACGAGTACTTGTGACAGTGAGGAAATGACAGATATCTCAAATAATCTAAAAATCAAAGACTTGGTGGATATTACATAAAAACCACTGTCAATTTTTTGTATCTGTAGGTATACTTTAACTTAGCAGATGAATAATTGTTGATTTAACCTTACAATTGTTTTAGGTGTAAAACAAGTCATTTATGTGGCAAGCTAGTGGTTAAGGTTGAATCACTTCAAACTATACTATCACAACAACATATTGGTTAAAGAAAATCTGTCTTGGCATTACAATCTGAAAATATTTTTTTATTCATATTTTACTGAATAATTTGATTAAACATGAAGGATAATGGCTTTGTAGATTATGCAACATTATTATGTTCTTAGCACTACATATCACACACAAAAGACATGCTATTATTAATATAAAAATATAATAGGGGTATAAATTTCATAAGTATTGTTGACAGTAAAAAGAACCAAAGAGATGTATGTCAATGTAGTTTGTAAATTTTTCTCAGCAAGCAAAACATTTTTGTTATACATATCTATCGTCTTTTGTAATAACAAATATATATTTGTATATATTACATGTATATCTCAATTAACTATATAACTCTAAATATATATATTACATGACATGGTGAATTTTATTCCAGAAATTATCAGAAATGCCAAATGTAAATCCAAAAGAGAAGAAGGGAGATCCTTGAAAAAGAAGAAAACTGTGTAAATGCATGTACAATGTATGTATTGATGAAAGTAGATAACAGTAAATAACTGATAAACCCCAAATCTGCCAAGTTGGCTCTTGACCCAGTGATTTTGTGTAAAAGATTATCTTGGCTGGACATTGACAACCTTGAGAAAGTCATTAAAAGGTGGCAATATAGTGTCCAGTGATGCTATCGAGATGAGAAGGAAGGCTATACCTTATATCAAACTTAAACCTTACATATAATTGTGAATATGTCCATGTCATTCCATCATTAATCTATAAATGATACAAGCTAACACATTGATATATATTGAACAATACATGATTTCCAATCATATTAGGTAATAGTTTTGATATTGGACCTATGCTTTGAGAGTCTATTAATTATATTAACATGTTTTTGGAGAAAACACTGTCTTTAAATAAATGAGGTTACTGTTTACCTGTTAGCAAAATAAAATATCAAGAAAAAACATTAAATTACATACTTTTGGAAACTTAAAGAATGTAAAAATGACGAAGACCAATATTGTGTTATATGTTTGATTCAACTTTATATTCTTCAGCAAGGTTTTTGTTAGAAAATAGAAGTAACAACTTACTGAAATGTTTTACGCTTAATGTTCATCAGCTAAAAGTAACTTATAGGTACTGTTTGAGTATTTTTTTGTATTTAATTTCTATCAGAATCATGTAAATATGCAAATTTTTGTGGTTATTTCAGTTTAGGATATGTAAGATTGATTGTTTTATCTGTTTTATCTTAAGGGAACTTGATGCCAAGTGTAAAACCTTCAAAAATAATTACTTCTAGTTTCAGCAGGAATTTGTTGTGATATGTTTATTCTATTTGTATTATCATGTTAATTATTATCAATCATTAATCATTATGTTAAATAATTATTGGACTTAACTGCTTAATGCTCACTGTCATGTGACTACATATATCTTTATTGATATTTATGAAATCTCAAATCATATTTGTGATAGCCATGATGTACATTACACATGATATATAAGAGTTAAGAATAATATAAAACTAGGACTTCCACTTCCAGTTTTAATAAGTTATTTTTATAAAATCCACAATAAAATCACTAACAAAATGGTTACATGTTTACTCTGACATTCAAGCAGATATATGGTCATTGTATAGTCATCCCCCCTCATATGTTTAACAAAACTGCCAAATTTCATCAAATGTCCATCAGCGTTATTTTATATCATTTATAACAAAATGGATTCTATGGGCATTTTTAGCTTAACTTTTTCAAATATTGCTGCAGTGAGGTTGTTGTTGATGTGGCTGTCCAGAAACTTTAACATTGGCCATTATTTATTTTCTTCTTTTTAATGGATTGTCTTCATACTTGGACACATCAATCCTTTGGACAAGACCTTCAAGTAGACGAAATTGATTATGACCACTCATCAGTGTACTGGTAGATTGTGAGGAGTAGTCCAGACATGTTGTTTTAATGGACAGACATACAGACAGACAACATAGAAGTTATTCCTATATGTCCCCACTGCTCTGTAGAGGCAACACAATGATTGATTCTAATTAATTAATTACAATCTGAATAGTGATGTAAATTATGTAATTTAAATGAGAAGTTTTCAATTTAACTCAAATTAATTATGATAATTACTTTTGGAACAACAGACAAGGTCAAACAGGAAATTTGAAAGAAAGTACTAGGAGTACTCTACACTACAATATTCTCCCTCTGAGAAATAATAAAAAGTTGCACTTACCCCTTGCTATGTAGTGGCTCTAGTTTAAATGTACCAAAGTTTTATTTCAGTATCCCCCAAGCAGTAAAATCATTCAAGAATAATTTAGTTACAGCAATCATTTGTATATACATTGTATATGAGGTCAATGGTGTGACAAGTTTCCTCATATTGCATTAATTACACACTGCTTCCTATAATTAACTAGAACAGGTGCCATATGAGGACCAGAACTAAAAACATGACCAAAGAAGAGTTCAAATTCACAAATTCTGAGTTAAGAAGCAGACAACAGGCCATCTCTCCAAATGTTCAGAATCTGTTTTGGGGAAAAAATGCATCTTTCTAGACATTGCATTGAGTTGTTTTACTATCAATTTCTGTGACTTAATATAGTAAATATAGTTTACATTTAATATACAAATGTAGTAAATACAACTTTACATATGATATAGTTAACATGGTATTACACTAAAAAAGGCAGCAGATTGCATTTAATGTTTTATATTGTTTGTGAAGGGTCCAAAATTAAAGTTATGTAGTGTAATGTAACAAAGTGATTTGTCTGTTGATGTGTGCCAGTTTACAGTGTTATTGTAGCAATGTTTGTTTGTTTGTTTGTTTAATTTTATTTCACAAAGAATTTTAGTTGTCTAATTATGTCTAACTGGTATAAAAATATTAAAACGGGTTACTTAAATATTGTTTGGAAGTATAATTATATCTATACAAAATACTTTGGCAAGGAAAGAAGTTTGTTATTAAATCAGACAAAAGATGAAAAAGAAGTTTGTCTCCTGTATTTGGAAAGGAAAAATTACCTCCACTTTGAAAGTCTGTAATTATAAATTATTTTAAAGAAAAGGGAGGTAATTTAGTGACAAAAAATAAAATATGTATGAAAAATTTTGGATTGGGATGAATTATGAATACTTGAAGTTTAATAGACAAAAAATTTTTATAAGGACTTCCAAAATATTGCAGGTAATAAGCAATTAAAGGTATTTGTTATTTAAATATCTTTAATGTCAAAAATACTGATTTACGTTTATTTAACTATTTTACATAGCTACATCACTGATATGATTTTTAAAGTTTTTTGTTGTTTATTTGAATTTATTTACTATAAGAAATGTGCTTAGGTAAACATACACAATTTATCTTGTAAATATTTCATCATTATTTTTATTTGTATTTTTAAGTGTTTAGTGTTTCATATTGCTATAGTTTTTATAAAAGTTTCATTTTCTATACTATTTTGTTAAGTTGTTGTTGAGAAAAAGTTACTCATATATATTGCAGTGTGATACTGCCAAAATAATTGAAATGAAAAAATAAAATACTTAAGCAATTGTGATGTGTTAGTTTTTATTTTCATATCCATTAAAGAAAACCCATTTCATTTGTATAACTTAAGATAGTGTACAGTGCAGCCATACCAAGGGGCATATAAAATCCTGAATATAGAGAGGATCTGTGAAAATGAAATAATTATGTCACTTTAAGAAGTAAGACAATTGCAATATTTTGTAGATAATTTCTCACTCCAATATATATTTCAAATTCACAAAAAAAAATCTTTTTTTATGCCTACAGTATTAACTGAATAAAAAATGATGTATTGTAATCAAACTTGGTATATAGCAACCTTATGTGGAAACCCAGGTTGGTATTGCATTTGTACCTGGGGTGAACATTAAGGTCACTGTTACTAAAAAAAAGAAAAATGGTTTCTGGACAATAATTAGAGTGAGGAATGAGATATTGTAATCAAACTTGAGTTTGTATTTGAGTTTATTTATACTTGCCACCAGTTGCCCATATGGGTGAGTCCTCCAGAAGAGTATTAATCATTTTAGATTTTTGTTTGTTCGTTTCATTTTACGCCTTTTCCCAACAGTATTTCAGTCATATAGGCGAGTAGTTTCCTAACCATTGTTCCTGGAGAGTTACACCAGTACAAGACTACCTTCCTCCGCGCTTGGAGGATAGTGCAAGAAACACATACAGAAAGATGCCCCAATTCCAGAAGCTTTCCCTGGTTCTTTAGCGTGCTAAGTGCTGGTTCTTCAGCGTGCCAAGTGTTTAAGCACTCCTAAACGGGACCTCGATTTAAAGTCTCATCCAAAAGACTGATTAATATTTTTAGTTGGCCAGCCCAGGAATCGAACCCACAATTTTGAGATTATGTAAGTCTTGCGCTCTTACTGATTGAACTATGCTGGCTGGCTAAAAATCAACCTTGGTCTATAGCAAGCTTATATAAAGATCCTGGGGTCAAGGTCACTGTTACTAAAAGAAAGAAAAATGGTTTATGGACAATAACTAGAGTTAGGAATAAGAGATGATGTAAATGGCAAGCCTATATGAAGACCCTGGTTGGGATTGCGTTTGGATCCCCTGTGGTCAAGGTCACCGTTACTAGAAATGAAAAAAATGTTTCCAGAAGATAACATTAGTTGAAAATGAGATATTGTAATCAAACTTGGCATTTAGCAACCTTATGAGGACACCCTTGTTGCGATGGTATTTGGACCCTCTGGGGTCAAGGGTCACTATTACTTAAAATAGAACTAGAGTTAGAAATGAGATATTATACTCAAATTTAGTATAAAGCAAGTTGATGTTTGGATTGCAATTAATTGAAATAATTCTTTGTACACAGTTAGTTATTCAGATCACTTTTTTTTCAAAAAGGTCAAAGTTGCTGGTGGGGTTATTAATCACCTTTAGTGATCTCTGAATGGAAGAAAAACTATAGAATGACGTCACCTACCATGGTTGTTATATGACCACACTGATGCAGCGAAAGGAATGTCTTGTTGATTACTTTATAATGTTCAACTTATAAAGTTGTCCACCAGTTAAAAGCATCATGTAAAAGATTGATCAGACCAATGTACTCGGCTGAATTTATATAATGGACTTGCCCCGCACAGTAAATTTAGAATAGTACATAAGTAGTTGAAGGGATTTTAGCCTCATAATACTGAAATTAAGCAAAGTAACTGGTTCAATTACATGGAAGCTTTGTCTTGTCAAGTCATTTTAGCTGAGGTAGTATAGTCCTACATTTTCTGTTGTCATAGTTTTACTGCAGAGCCTCTGTACCTGCTAGCAAATCATAATAGTACATGAATAATAAAATAATATTTTTGTGATGTAAGCCACAGCCAAAAGAAACTAGCCTTTGTCACTAGTATAGGACCAAGCCTGCATGTAAAATCCCATTGTTTATACTGTTGATATCACAATATTTGTTTTTTGTTATTGAAAATGAACTTTTCCTGATTCAAAGCTCAACGTCCATTGAGGAAATTCTGCAGGCTCAGGATTGACAATGTCCACAAACTCCCTTCATGTAGAAAATTCAGCTATAGTGATATAATGTACCTACATATACAATGAGACAGGTTAATATCCAGAATGGGTTTAATCAAAAGGGGTGTTGTTTACAAGAAATTTGATATTTCCTAGAAGTTCAACTCCTGGAAGTTTATCTTTAGGTTTCAGAGAAACATTTTAAGGAAAGAATAATTATGTTTATTGACTGAAATAGCTAGGCTATGTGAAGCATGTCTTCAGAAATCAACCCAAAGATCACTTAAAGGCAAAAGTATGAAAAAGCCAAATTCAATTAATTTTTTTTTTCAGAACATTGTACTTTAGTGACAAAAAGATGTCATACCCATAAATAGCATATACATTATATGGTAAAGAAATCAACTCCAAACTGAATTGATATACAAGTGCGTAATGATAATGGAAATTACTGACTTGCATCAATTGGCTCTGATGAACAAAATGGTGATATTGATATAGGTCTTTATGAGGTTTTAAATTTCCTGTATTTTGAAATTTAACTTCCTTTAACAATTTGTCAAATCTCTATTAATATGTATATACAGTCATAAATATGGTAACTTTCTATATGGACTGATGCATGTCCAACTGACTATTGTCCAAAAATTTAAATAAGCATAAAATAATTTAATAAATTTAAGAATAAAAATTATAATTTACACCAACATGACCCATTGGTTTTGGGAAAGCTATTATGATTATAAGTGATTGCTTCTACAGATACTGTTTACAATATGCATATAACATCTTTTCTACAACATCTTGTTGGTCCTACTCTAAGCATATGACCCTCCCTGATGTTTGGAAATATGTATTCTATTGACACCTTTTTAATTCAAATTCTATTAATTAGAAACCTTTTTTTAATTTAAACAAAAGGATTTGAGAAAATTTATTGTGTAAGTCTGTATGTTACAGAAGAAAACACAAATTATCATCCTTTTATACAAGGGATTGGACCAGTAAACCCTAGGAGTAGGATGAGCAACTACCTTGGTGAATGTAAAAATAAAAACTTGATTATTTCCCATCTTCTAATTTTTAATTATTGTGTAAGTCAAGACAAGGTCTATTAATTTTATATTCCAATGAACTATTTAAAGAAATCATCTCACAGATTGTAATTTTAATGACCTCTTATAAAGGTCAAGCCGTCAACAATATTTTGATTAAAATACAGTACATATATATATTAAATGTTTTTAACAAATAAATAAATTTGTAAACAGGTATTATGTCCAGTAATCAGCACAAATTCTCTAAACCTTTACAGCATGTTTCATGTTGATAGACTAAGGGCTGCATAAAATATTAAACTTTTTTTATTCAAGCTGACTTGGGAAAATTACACCTATTTGAACAAGTTAAACACTGTTAAATATCACTCCAAAAAAAGAAGGTAAAAACTTAAATATCTATTTTATTTCAGATAACCTTGATTTAAACCGTCATTTAACCTTCAAAAACCAATTTAGCTAAAAATGTTGTATTGATGTTAAGTTGATAACCTAGTATTAGTATCGGCTTCCTAATAAAATAAACATTTATAGAGGATATTGAATGAGTGTAGTTTAATACTAAATTTATTGAACGAGTTGAATAAAATCATAGGCGAGCATAATATTGTTTATTCAACGAGTTCAATAAATTTAGTATTGAATCTACACGAATATAATATTCTGTTTATCACATATATAAAATATGAACCGTAAACTGTTAAAATGAGTAATTTTTCAATGACGCGCCTATAGTGTAACGCTAATATTAGCACGCTTTAACGCTTTGTTTCTATATAGCGCAAATGACGTCACGTCAAAGTGTTATTACACTAGTGTAATATCGTTTTTATTAAATGGCTTTATTACACTCCTGCGCCACAGTTTATGTGATAAATATGTTTAATAATTGTCAGATGTATACAGAATATATATATTATATATATATATATATATATATATATATATATATATATATATATATATATATACAGTAAACTCCGCTTATAACGAACTCAGTGGGACATTGAAAATCTGTTCCTTATATCCGGAGTTCCTTGTAAGCATATAGCGAATTAGTTCCTTGTATAAGGAGTTTTTATAGCGAACAGATTTACATATAACGAACTGATTGTAATACATCGTCCGCCATTTTGAAGAGCATTTGATTAAGAATAATTAGTCATTTATTTCTTTTTAGACACAATGCTCGAAAGCGTACAATTTCAGTTTTAGTTTTACTCCCTTTCTCAATTTCTCATAAAAATCATATTTTGTTTCTTAACTCAGTGCTTTTCGTTATCTTTCCATAAATAAGAATAAACAAGATTTTCGATTTTTTCTTCCTTTTATATTAAATATCTATTATATTTTAAGGGTGACTTTTACAAATGAAATATATAGAAATGAAATACATAGTCAATCAAGCATACTTTGTAGTTTTCTATTGATTATGTTTGCAAGCATGCGTGATTATGTTGTAACCGATTATAATTTATCATATTTATTTTACTCTAGCAAAACTATAAAAGAAAAGAAATAATATAATAAAAGGAATAACCGTTTTATCTTTGTGACAAGAACTCGTGCTCAAAATACCCTAAATAGAAAACTATTAGATACCTCTATACAAATTCATTTTCATAGATATATTAAAGTACATACACATTCCGCGAAATAATAACGAAAGTTGAAAATGCGGGATATATTTACAAATAGCCGATATTTTGGAGTTCGTTATAAACGTGTGTTTTTCTGCACTTTTAAGTAAATTGGGACTAAGAAATGAGTTCCTTATAAGCGATAATTCCTTATAACCGTGTTCGCTATAGCCGTATATTTTTATATTGAAAAAAGAAGGGCAAAATTCGGGCCAAAATAAATTGTTCCTTATAACCGGAAGTTCGCTATAACCGTGTTCGCTGTAAGTGAAGTTTACTGTATATATATATATATATAAAACAAAAAACACAGTCCATGAGTTAACTTATTTA